CGGACGGCCAACTCCTCCTACTAGCCCTCCCGCTCCAGCAGGCCGCAGAGAATGGGGGTGGGAGAAGACTCCAACATTATATTATCTCAGAACTGCAGAGACTCTAAAGCTGCGACAAGCTGCAACAAGAATAAATTTGACATCAGGTTTGTTTCCAGCTTCGCTGTCTGCACATGTTCTTTCCTTTACTTTATGACTCCTCTGACATATCGCATCTGTTAACAGCAGAACACCTCAGAGTCCTTCAGATTTATCTCTGGTTTTAATCACAGGAAATCCAAGTTGATAAGAAAGGAAGGACAGAGCATGTAAGAAAGAAAAAGTGAAGGACGGAAAGGAATGGACAACAAAGATGCTGAACTGTGACAACGCACAACCATGCCCATCCTTTATTTACAGTCTACCTGGCCCTGCAGCAGGGAGGCGGTCCTCAGGTGTCCGTCCAGCCACCTCAACTCTCGGGGACACTTTCTGTCCAGCTCCTCCTCGATCTGATGCTCCAGCCTCTGATTGACTGCCTCGAGATGCTTGACCTGCACAAACAAACAAACAAACAAACAAACAAACATTCTGTCATTCTGTTGTACGAGTGAATCACCGTGTTCTCTGCGTACATTCACACAGCTCTGGGAAACATTATCTTTCAGATCTTAGTTTTAAACGTGACATCATGAAACACAATCTTTGGTTCATGATTTCTTCCATTTAATTTCGATTTATTGTGGTCTTAAAATTTCAAATCAATAATTAATCAGCCGTGAGAGGACCATTTGTCCTCCTGCCACAGAACTTTATAGATCAATCTTTAAGCAGTGCAAACGTCTATAAAGAAATCGGATGTTTTTTTGTCCTCCAAGTCTTTCAGATCCTTTTAACTGTTGCTCATTAATCTCAGTTGGAACAATGAAGCATGCTGCCTCCATCCTACCTGCTGCAGGTATGAAGCCAGCCTCCTGTTCAGCTGCTGCAGAGCGGCTCTCTCTCTGGATAAACAGGAGCTCCCGCCGCTGCCCGGAGCTGCTGTGCTGGGACACACCGACCCGCCGGCTCTGCTGCCACGGAGAACCAGCCAAGAAATCATCTCAATTCAGTTTCATCAGCTTCTTCAAAGCTTCCTTTAACAAACTCTGTCGTGTTCTGGAGTTCTGGGTGTCTGAGGCAGGCGGTCTGTCTCAAGTGTGTCAGGAGCAGATAGAGCTCAGGTTTAATCTGCTCTGAATATTGATATTCAGAAACAGGTCTGAGCAGGATGGCAGCCCTGCCCAGCACGCTGCATCCAGCAGCCGTCGGGTTTACACTTGTTCTGCAGATGGTGTGGCTCACACACTCCTGTAACCTGAGAGCCAAACCTTCATTTACAACCTGGAAAATCAAATCCATCAAAGCTCAACAAGATCCTGCAACAGAGAGACTGTTAGAGAGCGTTTACTCAGCCTGGACACATCGCAGCAGCCTGACTCTCCTTACAAACCTTTAAAGGTCAAAAGAAAAGCAGCCTGAAAATGCTAACTGCTAACTGGTTCTCATACTGTGATTTTCTGCTCTGAGCAGTTAAAGCACTTTATACAACATGCCTCTTTCCTGCGTTCAGATTCAGAATCAGAAAGACTTTATTTATCCCCAAGCGGCAATTAAGATACAACAGAGCAGCATGATGTTAAAGATAAGGACAGGGCACAAACAGGCAATAAGAGTGAGATAATAAATACACAGAATATACACAGTTTTAAAATTAAAGTGACTGAAAGGTGAATAAATAACTGTAAGTGAGTAAAGAGTTGGTAGTATAAGAAGAGTGTCGTTTCTGTTTCTGGTGGGGAAAATGTTCTTATCGGCTGGAGTTAAAAAGCAGAGCTGCTTTGGGGACAAAGGTGGCGCTCCTCCTCCGCTCAGTCCTGCAGGAAATGCAGCGGAGGCGTCGCCCAGAGGGGAGCATTGAAATGCGAGGTGAAGAATGTGAGAGGGGTCGTTGATGATTTTGGCTGCCTGTCTGAGGCCTGTTGGCTGAAAACCTGCCAGAGTTCTGACAGGCCGATGACTGTAGAGCACACTGATGCAGTGTGCTGCAGTCTGTTCCTGTATGAAGGCTGAGGGAGTGGAACCAGCAGCTGATGGACAAGGTCATGGTGCTTTCCAGGAAGGCATCGTAAAAAGTCATCATGATGGGTGTGCTAACTCCTAAGGAGGTGTAGCCGTTGGTGGCACCTCCTGAGAATCTCCTCTGTGTTGGCAGAGAATTTCAGGAGGTTGTCAAAGATGGTTCCCAGGTATTTGTGCTCCTCAACTACCTCCACTGGCTTCCCGTGGATGGTGGTGGTGACTGAAGCAGCCAGATCCCTCTGCCTACTGGAGAAGGTCACCACCATCTCTTTGGTTTTGCTCACGTTCAGTTCAAGTTTGGAGCTGTCACACCACTCTACAAACTCGTGGTCCGTGGTGTTGTGAGGGCCTGACAGCAGTGACAGGAGAACTGTGTCGTCAGCATATTTAACCAGGTGACAAACAGTCAGAGCTCTGTTGAGCCAACCATCCCTTTAACGTTAACTAGTAATGACTTCATGAACTTCTTCACAAATAAAATTTTTATCATTAGAGAAAAAATGACCAGTAATCA